ATATATTAGAGCTGGGCGGTATGACCCAAATTTTATATCACGGTATTTTCAACAATTACACCGGTTTCACAGTATTTGATGGTATTATTTTCCCTCACAGCTCAACTGATAATAAAATGTACAAACTTTGCTTATTGACTTTTTTTCTTTTACTGTACCTCTGTATCACTGTTTCCCTCCTCGTGTATGKCTTTTCATCTWTGACTGGTTGTAGACAGTAACCACGCATTTAGGTCCGATCGTGAAGGGTTGAGAAAAAATCATTATCAGGTCTTTCTTTGCGTGTTAATAAAACTTAAAAGGACGACTCACCTTGCACACCAGTCAACTCAACTCTACTACAAAACTACTCCCCCGGGCAATTCACAATAGAAGCACATTAAAGCCTCCATGCAATAACGTCTCTTATGTAATGCATTAAATCTAACCATGCACGTCACTGAAGAGGTGTTTACTACGTTCAGCGATGGTGAAAACCCAATGTTTTTTTTTTACGTCAAACAAAAAAAGCAGCTGAAACACCAGCCGCCGCCAGTTGCTCCAGCAATTACGTTAGCATGCTAATGTGATAAGCAGTGCTGCGAGGAAACGAGTCCCCCGGGAAACAGTTCACTGGCAGCCACGACGAAATGTTCCGCACATGTTCAGGCTATTTAAACCGGTATGTCAAGTATTAAGTAAATTCCTATCATAACAAAAATAAAAACCGGTTTTCGGTACAAAACGGTATACCGCCCAGCACTAATATATATTATTTATTTATTGGTCCATTTATATTTTTCTGCTTTTATTTCTAATTGTGTCAGTTTCGGTCCTCCATACTGCAGAACCTGGAGATAATTAAGTGTCTGAATCAGGTGTGTTGGAGCAGGTAAAAAAGTAAAACATGGAGAATTGTCCACCCCTGCCTCAAGCTGCAGGAACCCTGTTGATAGAGGGGTTTACGACTATATAGCTGCGCAGAAACTTTTTATTTATAAATAAAAGATGTGAACAACAGAAGAATTCCATCCAGCCTTACATGTTGGAACCAGAGTCTGACACAACCAGGGGAGAATGAAGACCACCAAGCTGGAGTTGGTAAGACCTGACCTTTTTAAGAAGTTCTGTTGTTAATAATTTGATGGAACAGTTCAGAACACGTCATGGGAAATAGAAAAAATGAACGGGTGGAAATATATGGCCCAAGTAGAACATAAAGATGTCTTTGTAGCACCAGGAAGAGACTAAATTMAACTTTTTTTACACTCCTCCAAGTTCACAACAAAATGTATTTAACGGCTAAAAAGGTGGATTTTCCACGATACGGTTCCTTTAAAGCTCAGCTGAAGAACAGAGAAGCAGCTAAAACATGCAGGATGGGGACCACTGAGGACCAGGACTGGGCACCACTGACGGTTCTCAGACATCAAAGTGTGTTTTACATGATAAAAATAAACTACTAAAACATCATTTTAGACAGTGTTTTAGGAAAAACTAGACCATCTTTAGGACAAAATCATTTCTATGCTACCAAGTTGGACCCCCAGCATAACAGAAATTAATTTTATTTTCCTTTTAGGTTYCTTCCTCTCACTGTAACCTCATTTGATATGTTTATCAGCCGTCGCCCAACGGACCAGCTTAAATTCTAACTTCCCATGCAAGCTATCGACTTGTGCAAGAATAGTTTCTGAGAATCTTCAAAGCTAATTGCCTTGGAAGTGTGAGGGGAAGTAAATTAGTGTCACGCCACAACCAAGAAAAAAGGTTCCCAATCGCATTTGGGGTTTTTTTTCCTGTGACTTTGAGAATATTTTTCTCTTGCAGTCAGAGAAGCCTCTGTGCACAGAGTGGAACAGAGTGAATGTTCAGCAGGAATCAGTCACAGAGACGGCGCTGCACATCAGACAGGAAGAGAGGGACTCTCCACAAAGATGCAGTTGACAAAAAACAGCACCGACTACGTATTTAAAAGGCTGCACTGGAAGATAATAACAGTAGAAATTAAAATTAGTCGGCTCCAGCAGATTAGTTTCACTCTGAATT